TACACCATTTCTAGTATGACTACCCGAATACCAAAAAAGTTTAAATCCTAAACTATCAATTTCCTTAGCCTTATCTCCAACCCATTTAGTTTTCTGAATGCACAAAATATTTAACTTCCTATGAATCATAATATCTATTAATTCCATTAATTTTCCTGTATGGGAACCTATATTCCAAGTTCCTATCCTAATTTTAATTTCATGGACTAGCTTCTTTGCCCACATCTGTCCTTGATGTGGGAACCCTTGCCTATTTAACACTGCATCAGGGCGCCGGTGCAGCGGCCCTTGCACATTTGTCACTGTATTCAGGCCATACAGCGCGTCGCTTCCAGGCAATTCAAGGATTGAGTGAGAGACTCACATATGCTGAGATAGAGAGAGAGAGGGAGAGAGAACACTTAGAGTTGTAGCCTTTCAGCAAACTCATGCTAAAGAACTGCGGCTTGCGGCTTGCGGGAGCACAACGAGAGAAAGAGGACTAGACTTGTGTGAGAGAGAGTTTTCTTAGGGTTTTATCTAAATATATAAAAGAAATTGCGTTGGCCAGTAGCGGCATTTGCCCCCAATGCCCCCACCGTGCCTATGTCACGGTGTACCATCTGCCATCCAACATCACAAGCTAACTACAACCTAACAAGAATGTTGAAGGTCTTCTTTCTTACGAGAATTACCTAAAAGAGAATGTTAAATTAAAATTTTTCAGTACCAAAATATTAGTATAAAATCTTGGTTCTTTTTTAATTTTGTTAGCCAGTTCAATTCCTTAAATGTCTAGACCATCCGATGATCCGGTTAGGAGAGTAGACGTATTAGATCCAGTCAATGCTAAAAAAGTTAAACGAATATCTAAAAAGACTTAGTTAGAAAATATTATAAATTATCTTTTCTAATTAGATTTAAATTAGAATTTAACTCTTAATATGACACAATGGATAAAAAGAATTCATGTAGCAGACGTCACATAGTGGGATAAAGACTTGATGTTAATTGTTGTTGTTGTAGTAGTCCGACTCCTTTAACACTGCCGTTGCCAGGTCCCAAGTCCTGGATGAGAAAAGTGGAAGGTTGCGTTAGGTAGTTGACAGCCAGCGTAAAACTTGTCGAACAATAATGACATGAATCATTTAAAAAATTGTGTTAATGCTAGGGCTTTCTTTAGAAAATTCCGCTACTAAATTTAACTGCTAGCATTGATTGTGTCTGATTTCTATTGATCAAGGGTTAGTTTTTCATGGTCATGATGATTTAGAAGAATCAGAAATTCAAAAAAAAAAAAAAAGTAAGTGGAACTTCTTCACTTCCTTGCATCACATGATAAATGTATAAAAAAAGTGGTTTTGGAGAATGCTCCAAATAATAATAAACTTATTGCTCTTGACATTTTGAAGGAAATTACTCATGTTGCTTCCATCGAAATTGTGAATGTCATCATGAATAAATTAGATAATGATCTCTTTGAAATTTTGCTTGATGAGTTACGGGATGTATCAATAAAAGAGCAAGTGGCTATAGCATTTCATTATGTTGATAAAAGAGGATGTATAATCGAGCGCTTTATTAGACTTGTACATGTGGAAGAAACATTTGCTTTGACACTAAAAAAGTTTGTTGCAATGTTTAAAATTGCGTATTCGGGTATTGAGGCATTTTTCATTCGTGAGGTGAGGCGTAAGCCTCAAGGCGCGTTTTGAGGCGTAAGCCTCAAAATCAAAAGATTGTGTAAACATAAAATGATAATTTTTTTATATACTAATGAGTGAATAATATAAAACATAAAAAAGCATAAGATATGAAGTGAAATCAAAATATCTCAATAATATGACAACATGAAATATAGTTTAACTCAAAATTCTATCTTTCTCAAATCTCAGTATTCTTTTCATTAAAATATATTTTCAATTTCCAAAAATAAATAGCAATGACATATCACATAAGAACTCATAAGTCATTAGCACTGTCATCACTAAGGGGTTCTTCATTTGAATCATCATTATGATGAACTGCTCTTTCCCCTTCCTCTCCTATAGAGTCCAATGTCGGGCATTTACTTCAAGATTTATGTAAGTTTTAATATATATAGCGTGAGGCGTAAGCCTCATGCCAGTGAGGCGAGGCGGGCCTCAACCAAGTTGAGGCGCAAGCCTCATAAAAAAAACTCGAGGCGTAAGCATCGAGGTGTTTTTTACTGGAATAGCGCAAAGGCGGGCCTCATATTGTGCAATTTTAAACCATGGTTTGTTGAAGCGCTTCTAACAAAATATGGATTGAGCATAGCACGGATATGTGGTTAAGGTTATGATGGCTCCAATAATATGCGTGGAGAGTTCAAGGGCCTTAAAACTTTGATTATGAAAGAAAATAATTCAGCTTATTATCTACACTGCTTTGCACATCAGCTCCAATTGACAATTAGTCTTGGTGGCTAAAAATCATGTTGAAATTGCTTTAGTTTTCAATATTATTTCTAGCTTTATAAATATTGTAAGGAGTTCCTACAAAAGAAGAGATCAACTACAAGTGATAGAATACGACAAGATAGTAGAGCTACTCCAAAGTGGTAAAGTTTTCAAAGGTAGAGGTTTGAATCAAGAAGTAGGCCTTCAACGAGCTAAAGAAGCACATTGAGGCTCACACTCCGGTTATCTTATTAATATAATTCTATTATTTGGATCTATTTTTTGATATTTTTTATATAATACTACAATATGGATCAAACAGTGAGCGAAAAGGCGAAGCTTATGCCATACTTGATGATGTACAATATTTTGAATTTGTTTTTATTTTGCATATGATGAAGTTGATATTATTATAGTGCCATAAAAATATAAAGTCAATTCGAATTGTTTGTGATTTACTAATTTATTATGATTTATTTTATCATTGGAGCTATTTTTTTTTTTAGTATTCAAATATATTTTTTACTTTTATTTTATGAAATTTTAATTCTAATTATTTCTAGCGATCATTAAAAGTTCATGATTATTTGAATTTCTTGTGATTTTATGTGGATTTTTACTTGAATTTCCAAATTCCAAGTCATTAAATGCCATTTTGAGTTTTTCATGATTTATTGATTTTTATATTGGTTTAGAGTTTAATATTATCTGAAATGAAATTTTGATCTTAAAACATCGTAAAAAAAAAAAATTGACCTAAGAAATCAATAGTCCTCAAAATAAAATAATAAGAAATGAGAGATATAACCAATAAGTAATTAGTGCAAAAGATGGACTCAATATTTGAGGAAGTCAATCGCTGACTTTACTGTAGATTTCTCATTTAGCCATCAAATATTCTGTTGTAGGTAGAAAACAATGACATGTATTAAGTCATCTTGATTTGGTTCATGATGCATTTATAAATATTTTATCATATCAAAATGAATGAGAGATTGATATTGTTTCAACAAATCTTTGAGCCTTGATATAGTATTAGAGCCTCAAAATTCATTTATGTTTTACTATCTAGTTCACGTAATGGACAGGTTCTTTACCACCTCTAGCAATAAAAATGACCTTACCATCATCAAGGAATACACACCAAGGGGAGATCATCCGCCATAGGGGTAGTTAAGAGTTTGCATAGATGAAATAACTTGCCAGTCTCATATGGTAGATCGACCATTGAAGCAACTTGCCTTGGATCTCAACCAGGATACCTTTACTCTCCCTCATCGTCTCACCTGCAGAAAGTAGCTACTCAGGAGACTCAGCTCGTTCCATCGCAACCCTTTTACTATGGACCTTTCCTTTCCCGTAATGACAGCTCATTCACTTTTCTTTTTGGGGTGATCAATGGCTCCCATATTTTTCATCAGCAACTTCAGAATACACAACGACCTCGAGCTCTTGCTCTCACTACTTACCAACAGACTTGCTCATGTACACTTGGCAATGCTGGACTAGCCAATATTGAGCTTCCCCTTAGACAAATTATCAAACTAATGCAGAGCAATTCTCTCTCTAGCCAACCAAAGGGAAACACAGCTTGGGTAGCCAATAATATTGAGAGTCTGTAAAGCACTGTCTTGTCTTTTCTATTTCTTTATAAGCGCAACCTTTCCTATAGCTCTTCAATCCCAATAAATAAAAGGTAATGAGAAGCATTTTAGATCTTTGATTGACTTATGGAAATTCAGAGCCTTTTGAGCAGTTATAGCATAGTTTTTTTTCAAGTGAATTCTTTTCTTCATTTTCATACAGGCTCTCAAATCACCTCTCTCAAACTTCACCTGCTAGTAAGATTGGGTGTAATCCGCGGATAAATTTAGATCTAATGGAATGGATTGGGAAGGAAGTCATCATGATCTTCTTGATTCTTTTATGCCATTGCCTTGAACTCATTATTCTCCTCCATTGCATTGATTCCCAAAGACACTATGGGCACCATGCTTGCACGGGTGAAGTTGGACCTATTCTTCATTTGACTGTCCCTTCCAAAGCCATTATCAATAGGAGATTGGTGATGTTTATCATTGCCTAGGTTCATCATCGGGCATCATTATCTCTACACTAACCCGTTGTGGTAGTTGTCTAGAGATGCCATGGTCATTTTTCCTCCTTATCCTATAGTCTCTGGTTGACTCCCCATGTTTGGATCATCCAAGTGCCATAACTTCGATATTTATATTCTCCGGCACTGTTTTGGATGTGATCATATCAACTGTTGCGAGGTTATCAATGTCCCCTATTGGACAAATGAAGTCAGTATCAGTGTCTTGTTTCATCCTAGTGGTGTTGCAAACTGCCATAATCATGCAAGGCTTTGCACTTTCCATCGATGGCCATCACAGTCAGGATTTGTATCATTAGGCTATGAATGGAGTCTTCAATGTCATTGAGCGACCCTTCATCGTTGGTGACCCACTTCTTGCAGTTTGTCAGGTCCTTCGCCATCATTCTTTGTCAAAGGAGTTTAACTCTAATGCCACCTAAGGCAGCAAGGAAGCAAGGATTCTGTAGATCCCAAAGATAAACAAGAAAACTCTAGTAGTGCAATTGATCAAATCTTCTTGCAAAAAGGATGCATGCTTTTTTCTTTTGGAAGAAAAATAAGGATGTCTTGATTTAGAAAAAAAAGAAGTAACTCTATTCTCTTATCAAGACAATAGGTTTTTGGAATTGCTATGTTTGATTATAGACTCGAAAGATAATACTGAAGTTGAAAATATATGCAATTTTTTCCACAGTGAGGAAGAAGGCTAAGAGACAAAGGCAAAAAACATCTTCAGCTATGGCAAAGGACAGTTACAATTTGGAAATGGTCGACAAAAACGTATGCAAGGTAAGATAGATTTACTGTTTTTTTATTATTAATCTTAACCAGATATATGAATCTTGTACTTTTATGTTTCAGGCCGCACGAAGGACTCAACCACGAAGAATATAGCATTTTTTATTTATCAGATTATTGTAGTTTTTCTCGTCCAATTTCTGTAGGCAAATATTTACAGTTAAAAGAACTCTTTGTAGAAGTCTTGCCCGCAGTTGCTATCCTTTTTTTGTTGGGTTATCCTGGTTTGTTTATGGTAAATTCCAGTTGCTATTCTAAGCATTTTAGTTTGTGCGTTAATTATTAATCAGATTTATTTTTCTGATTCTGACGTCTTTGAAAACTCCCTAGTATTTCAGTTGTTGGGCAGAAATGCTAACAAATATTGCAAATTAAAATAATTAGCTGTGCTTCTGGTCTGTGTGGAGAACCTGTTATTTTTTGGCGAAATAACTTGGTGCAACAAGTCGAAGCTCATTCATGCAGTCGGACATTGGAAAACGAAGGTTGTTAGATACAGACTAGGTTTCTCTTTTTCTCTTTCGATTTTTTTTCTGTTGGGCATTTTCGGTTGTTTGGTTAATATTAGCAGTATAAATTTCCAGGTTAATCATTTTTATTTTATTTTTGATGTTTACATTGCGCTGTCATACATTTTGAGTTTTTTGCTTGTTATTTGAGTGATAAAACCAAAAGTTAGCCCATAAGTTTAAAATAAATGAAATTTCAGTACAATATAATAAATGAAATTTCAGTACAATATATGAAATTTCTATATATCAGGGTTTTGCATATAAAATATCGGACGAGTAATTTGCGACTTTCCAATGGAATGTGGGATTGTTTATGATAGGTTGCGTAGTTGGCTAGAATGTAAATTTGCTTAAAATTTTTATGTGGAGTAAAACATCATTTTAACTGTGTAAATTTGGGTAGCTGGCTAGAATTTAAATTTGTCACTTTCGAAATTGATGAATATTAAATTTCAAGTAAATCTAATACCTCTTAAAATTTGGATAATTCACGAAATACTTTATTTATGAATCGTAAGTATAGATTATTGTGTTGATTCTTCTAATGATCTAACTATGAATAAAATCAAAATTAGATATTGCAATTGCTGTTGTAAATATGGTGAGGTATTAATGAAAATAATAAAGAATCTTTTCGAAAAAGAGAGCAGAAGAGTTCTTCAAATGTTTGAAAAAAAAAATTGTTATGATAAATTTGAAAATTTATGTTGTAAAGTTAGAATGCAATCGTTATAACTTATATATGAATAAAAATAATAATTATTCAATAATGCAATGTAAAGATATTTTCAAATTTGATCATGAAAATTAAGGGGAATCGCCTCTATTGAGGTACCACATAGACATCCTATTTAATTCTGTGTAGTTGAAAATTGGGATTGTTCAAAATGAAAGGTGCGAAATGTTAGGGTAACTTTTTTTATATAGGATATTCGATGAGAAGAGTAAAAAAAATAGCAATGGTAGGATTAATAAATTATTCAGTTCATATAAAATGCTCAAAACATTTATATTACTAATTATAATTCTGAATATTTAAATAAGAGAAAAAAATAGTAAAGAATCTTTCAGAAGAAATGATTAATTATACTTGATACTACAAAGACACAATCTTTATAAATAAAATATAAAACCTGTTTATATTCTAATTTGAATAGTGGATATTGAAAAAGTAGATATTGTTGTGTGTTATTTTATTTTATTTGTTTATTTATTTATTTTTGTGATTGTAACTTTTATTTTATGTTATTTTTATTTAAATTTAATTTTCATTTCAGCAATTTATGAAGAAGTGAATGTGGTGTCATTGAAGAATATATATATATAAATAATTTTTTAAGGGTTTTAAGCCATCCTAGAGCCGAGGCTGTAATCATAGGTATTGAAGTCCTAATTTTGGAGCCTAAGAAGCATGAATGCATGATTGGGTCCGCAAGAGGAACAATTATTACGTCCTCCGACCGGACGTAGAGGAACGGTCGGTCGGAGGCCAAATCGTGCTAAAAAATGAGAAATACCGAGCAATATCAAACAATAACGAGGAATACCATCATGTGAAGACCCAATATCGAGTTATATCGAGATATACCGAGCAATACCGAGTTGTACAAAAGTTGTATCGAGTTTTTCCTAGAAAAAACTCGGTACAACTCGGTATTGCTCGGTATAACTCGGTATTGATCTTCACATAGCGGTATTCCTCGTTATTATCAAATAATACCTAGTAATACCGAGCAAATACCGAGTTTTTTGGCTGGATTTTGTCTCCGACCGGACGTTCCTCTACGCCCTTACACCGGATCTAATAAAAGTTCTTGCAAGAGTCCAGTCCTAGCACTTACGTCTTCAAATTAGGCATTTATGGAGTTTCCACAAGGCAATGGGCTGCTACGTACTAATAATAACTTGAATTGTGTATTGTTAAATTTTATATTTCATGGATGTTAGAAACATGAGCGTGATTCATTATTTGAATGATTTCAAATATTAATTATTAGATCTCTCTCTCTCTCTCTCTCTCTCTCTCTCTCTCTCTCTCTCTCTGAATTTGCCTATTTTAATATGTTAATCAAGAAATCGAATCGAATCAAATCTTAAATATGATTTATATTATGCGATCTAGCTTGCACAATACAAACGAATAGAACTCTTGATGGATGAACCATTATTTGTATTGGGTGAATGTTGAGTTGATTCAAATGATCGTATTGTATAATTCATATCATACAGTCTGATCTAAAATAGCTTAAAAATTAATATTGAATCAGTCATATAGTATGATACTTTGTACTAATATATCTGAAATAAATATTATAATTTATTTTAGATAGCAAAATTTGATTCTCGTAATTAAGCATGTTGGTGGGATGAGTAACCATAGCCATTTTTCTTTGAGAGTTTCTTTTAGAGAGGGGGAGGTGTTTCTCCTTGCTTGAGATAGCTTATCCAAACCATTTGAGAGAGAAGATGAGGCTAAGATGTTGTTTCTTGGGTAGTCAAGAGTTTTGTGAGGGTGATCATACGGTTATCCTCATCGACTTGTGCCCTTGTCCTACAGGTTTTGTGTTTAGGATTCTTAGAGTGGAGCTCTAGGGAGAAATTATTTGGGTTTTCCTAGGATATTCAATTGTAGGTAAATCCTATAGAGTTTTCAATAAGATGACATTAGTGGTAGAGACCACCCATGTAGTATTTGATGTGTTGAGCCTAGGTTAGAAGAAGAAAAAGTGGTTGAAGTGGCCTAAGGAGTAAAATCTATTATTTTAGAAAATAGAGTATAACCTTGGAACCCATTGCATAAATATTGGAGATATTCATCTAGTCATACTAAGGACCTCATCCTAAGAGATCCATCAGTATGAGTAAGAACTAGGCATGGACTTAGAAATGAGGTTAGCCACTCTACCTTTATGTCTATGGTAGAACCCTCAAAAATAGATCATGTTTTATTTGATGAATTTTGGATCTTAGTTATGCAAGAAGAGTGAGTTGATTTTAGTTAGGAATAATGTTTAGGAGTTGATTAGTAGACCCAAAGACGAGAGTATTGTAGGAACCAAATGGGTTTACAAGAATAAGATGAATGACTATGGCATAGTAATTAGAAATAAGGTTAGATTAGTAGCTAAGTGGTACAATTAGGTTGAATGAATTAATTTTGAAGAGATATTTGCCCCTGTTGCTTGAGTAGAAGCCATTAGAGTGTAATTAGCCTTTACTTGCTTTAGAGGATTCAAGTTGTATCAAATGAACGCTATAAGTGTCTTCCTAAATGGGGTAGTTAAAAAAGATATATATATATATATATATATATATATATATAGCAACCCCCAGATTTTGAGAACTCAAAATTTTTCAATCATATATTCAAAATAAAAAAGGCATTATATCGATTTAAGAAAACACATAGAGCTTGGTATGAAAGATTGAGCACTTTTCTCTTAAATAGAGCTTTTCTTAAGGGTACTGTAGACACCACCCTATTTCTAAAGAAAGAATGAGAAGATATACTCATTATTTATATTTATGTAGATGATATATTGTTTGGATCTACAAATAAAATTATTTGTGATAAATTCTCAAAAATAATAAGTGAGAAGTTTGAGATGAGCATGATGGGAGAGCTTACCTATTTCCTTAGATTTAATGTGAAGCAAAGGGGTGATAGAACTTTCCTTAGCCAATCAAAGTTTATTAAAGATATTCTTTCAAAATATGAGATTGATAATGCTAAGGCAATCAAACTCTCATGTGCTTCACCATTCAATTAGTTAAGGATCCAAAATGAAAAATCAATTGACCAGAAGAAGTAAAGATAGATAATTGGATCATTTCTTTACTTGGCTATCAGTAGACCTGATATCATATTTAGTGTATGTAACTATGCTAGATTTGATAGGAAAAGTGCTTCTGGAACCTGTCAATTCAGATAACAATCATTAGTCTCTTGGTCTAATAGAAAATAAAACTTTGTAACCCTATCTACCATTGAAGTAGAATACATAGTTTTAGGAAGTTATGTTGCTCGAGTCCTATGGATTAAACAACAAATTCTTGATCATGGACTCACTATTGGCATTTTTGCGATCATTTGTGATAACACCAGTGTCATCTGTATTTCAAAAAAACCAATCCATAATCCATGACCAAACACAAAGACATTTGGCATCATTATATAAGAGATCATATGACCATGGAGGATATAGAGTTACATCATATCACCATTAAAAATCAACTGGCAGATATCTTTACAAAACCCCTTACTTTTGAAACCTTTGGCATCTTGAGAAATAGACTAGGTGTTATGGATATTCAAGCTTAAATCAGGATAAATTAGAAATTAATGTTTTCACTCTTTTGTGTACTTTTAAGTAATTTGCTTTTGTTCGTATTTTGTTATGTGTGCTTGTTATATAGCTTGTGTGTTAATTTTTTTCATTTATCTTGCCCTTTTGTGATGTTTTCATGATCATCACAAAAAAAAACTAAAAATTTCCCACTTTGTACTATACAATCCCACATCATAATGTACAATCCCACATTATACTATACAATATTCATAAAGTATTACATAACTTCTCACAACACATCCAACAACTGTAATTGATCCATTTTGACGAATTAAATTTGGTCAATATGATATTAAATATTGTATTGTACTGTATAAACACCTCTTCGTATTATATGATCTGATCAGTCAATGATCGTCCAAGCTGGATGATCATCTTCACATGGATCATCCAGTACATTCTAATCTTACTATACAATAAGACCACCTTTTTAACAGATTATAC